TCCGGCCTTGTGCTCCGTTTGCTCCCCGCCGCGCGCACGGCAGCGTCGCCGATCAAGTGTGGCAAGAGCACTCAGCACTCGGCAAATATTTGTTTTCTCTTGGGAGCGATGCTGGCACCATCTGTCCCGCCGGCACGTTGCTGGGATCTGCTGCGCGAGGATGAGCCGCTCCGATCCTTGCCGGGGTCCTTTGCGCTTGTTTGGCACCGCTTTGCCGTGGCCACGAGCCAGGATCCGCCCGTGGCTTCCCGCTGGGATGGGGTCCTGGCTGTTCCCTGTTGGGTGCCGGAGCGTGCGGTGATGATAGCGGGAACAGCCCCACTGGGGCAGGCGAGGGGAGGACACCCCGGATTCCTGTGGGATTTTGTGGTCTGTGTGGGCTCTAGATGGGGCTGACGAGTTGCAGGCGCTCTCGTGCGGGCGGACACGATTCATGGATGCAGTTCATGGACACAATTCATGGCCGCGGTTCAAAGCGGCCCCGCACGGCCCGCGGGCTGGGCAGCTGCGGGCACGGAGCGGCTGCGGGATGCGGATGTGCCGCAGGAGCAGAGATGCGCATCCCGACCAGCTGGGACTCCAGGGAGCCAAGGGAATGGTGACGGGCTGTAGGAACGGGATGGGCTGCGGGAGCAGGGACGGATGGGCGGCCGGGTTGGATCCTTGGAGTGGGTCCTGGAGACACCCTATGGGAGCAGGGCTGGGCTATAGGAGTGTGGTGGGCACCGTAGGATGGGCAGAGGCTACAGGCAGGGCTATAGGGGCACAGCAGTCTCTATAGATGGGCACAGGCTGGAAGAGCATGGCTATAGGGGCTCAGCAGGCTCTGTAGGATGGGCACAGGTTATAGGCAGGGGTATAGGGTATAGGCAGGGCTATAGGGGCTCAGCAGGCTCTATAGGACGGGCACAGGCTATAGGCAGGGCTATAGGGGCTCAGCAGGCTCTATAGATGGGCACAGGCTGTAGGAGCAGGGCTATAGGGGCACAGCAGGCTCTATAGATGAGCACAGGCTGTAGGAGCAGGGCTATAAGCAGGGCTATGGGGGCACAGCAGGCTCTATAGATGGGCACAGGCTATAGGCAGGGCTATAGGGGCACAGCAGGCTCTATAGATGAGCACAGGCTGTAGGAGCAGGGCTATAAGCAGGGCTATGGGGGCACAGCAGGCTCTATAGATGGGCACAGGCTATAGGCAGGGCTATAGGGGCACAGCAGGCTCTATAGATGAGCACAGGCTGTAGGAGCAGGGCTATAAGCAGGGCTATGGGGGCACAGCAGGCTCTATAGATGGGCACAGGCTATAGGCAGGGCTATAGGGGCACAGCAGGCTCTATAGATGAGCACAGGCTGTAGGAGCAGGGCTATAAGCAGGGCTATGGGGGCACAGCAGGCTCTATAGATGGGCACAGGCTATAGGCAGGGCTATAGGGGCACAGCAGGCTCTATAGATGAGCACAGGCTGTAGGAGCAGGGCTATAAGCAGGGCTATGGGGGCACAGCAGGCTCTATAGATGGGCACAGGCTATAGGCAGGGCTATAGGGGCACAGCAGGCTCTATAGATGAGCACAGGCTGTAGGAGCAGGGCTATAAGCAGGGCTATGGGGGCACAGCAGGCTCTATAGATGGGCACAGGCTATAGGCAGGGCTATAGGGGCACAGCAGGCTCTATAGATGAGCACAGGCTGTAGGAGCAGGGCTATAAGCAGGGCTATGGGGGCACAGCAGGCTCTATAGATGGGCACAGGCTATAGGCAGGGCTATAGGGGCACAGCAGGCTCTATAGATGAGCACAGGCTGTAGGAGCAGGGCTATAAGCAGGGCTATGGGGGCACAGCAGGCTCTATAGATGGGCACAGGCTATAGGCAGGGCTATAGGGGCACAGCAGGCTCTATAGATGAGCACAGGCTGTAGGAGCAGGGCTATAAGCAGGGCTATGGGGGCACAGCAGGCTCTATAGATGGGCACAGGCTATAGGCAGGGCTATAGGGGCACAGCAGGCTCTATAGATGAGCACAGGCTGTAGGAGCAGGGCTATAAGCAGGGCTATGGGGGCACAGCAGGCTCTATAGATGGGCACAGGCTATAGGCAGGGCTATAGGGGCACAGCAGGCTCTATAGATGAGCACAGGCTGTAGGAGCAGGGCTATAAGCAGGGCTATGGGGGCACAGCAGGCTCTATAGATGGGCACAGGCTATAGGCAGGGCTATAGGGGCACAGCAGGCTCTATAGATGAGCACAGGCTGTAGGAGCAGGGCTATAAGCAGGGCTATGGGGGCACAGCAGGCTCTATAGATGGGCACAGGCTATAGGCAGGGCTATAGGGGCACAGCAGGCTCTATAGATGAGCACAGGCTGTAGGAGCAGGGCTATAAGCAGGGCTATGGGGGCACAGGAGGACGCGACGGATGCGTCCCGCGGGGCAGCGAGCGCGGCCGCCCCGTGCCGGAGCCGCGCAGGGAGCGAGCGGCACCTCCCGTGTGCTCTGCCCACAGACAGCGGAGAAGTCACCGTCCTGCCGGCGGGGGGGCACGGGCTAC